TTTTTGTGTGATTTATCTCCACGGCGTCCAGGAACTGGAGGTGGGCAAAATCCGGATAAATATCCGGATAACCGGATAATTCTCAATGAAACATTATCCGAATTCAGACTCTTATCTCTCTTTCCTGACCCGTTTGCCGAAGTGGGTGCACCCACTTGTTGAAGTGATGCTAACCTGTTTGTAGAAGTGGTTCTAATCCATTTGTCGAAGCGGTTTATAACATATTATTTGCCGAAGAGGTGGACTAACACATTATCCGTATTTCGCTAAAGCGACTCCTTGCCCAGCCCTGCATAGAACACTCCGATAGTAGGGCGGGCCTGTCCGTACCTTGAAGTAACTATATAGTTACTCCAAGGTCCGTACGACACGTACGCAAGCACGTCTTTACTTTATGGGTCCTCATGTCGACCCCCCACGTCTTGTCGTGTCAGTGTAATCACCGATAGGAAATAAAGTGGAGGGCACGACTTTTTCCCCGGCGCACTTCAGTACTTGTGAGTGGCAGTATATTATTTTCAGCTTTATGGCAGCAATACAATGCCATCTGTCTGCTTTCGTATTGTGACCGACCGCCCCTTCGCTGAGTCAAATAATCACGACGAAGCAAACTGCAACCATAATAATTTATTATGCTACTTTCTGAACTTTGTTTTCAGTCCTCACTTCCGTGTTGCTAGAAAACACGAACGATAACGACGCACGAATAGACGGATGATAGGTGTGAATGGAGACAGTTGGTTTTTTTTGCTTTATTGACGAAGGCACAACACCACACGAACGTGTACGTTTGGTGTGTACGAACCGCTACACGTTTCCCCAAAACAATAATAAACAAAGGCGGGCTCTGTCCGACCGAAAAAAAAGAAGAAAAAACATCAACGCTCAAAAGGGAAAAAATGTTTTGAAAGTTTGACTGAAAGTTTTCAATGATATAAACTTGGGGACGCAATGCAATTCGCCCCCCATTACGCCACAGCCCAACCTGCGGAAAGTTTGATCCTTAACTCACCGTCGGTTCGTAATCGATTAGTTTAAAATGGCAAGAGTAGGGTATTGAACTGGTAAATGATCATTCACTTGATTCACATCTCTGAACATTGCATACGCGCGCATGTGTGTGTGTGTGTGTGTGTGTGTGTGTGTGTGTGTGTGTGCAT